TTTGAACGACACACGAGAAAGAGACTTGGTGAAAATAATACCCGTTAGGCCCAAGGCAGGTAGGTTGGTTACTCACTCGAAAAGAGGCAGGTAAAAATTGCATGTAACGGAATGGCGATAAATTGTTCGATGAGAAATAACATTTCGAAGAATTCGAAGATAGTGATCACTGAACTATTAACTGGAAAATTAACTCGACTCTACATTGTAAGTACCCAATTCAATAAATTGTATCAATAATAGTTGAAGGCGTTATAAGTATGACAAATTTATTTACGAATATACACGAACAATATGTTCAGCAGCGCACTAAACAATGACTAAATCGTGACCAACAGAGGCGAGCGGCGGCTTGACGGACAAGTATTGATCAGAGGACCTCAGGACAGATGCGTGAGAGGAACATAACGCGTACAAAAGCAGTGCAAAAAATGAATAAGCCAAGAGAGAAAGATGTGAGAGTAGTGGTGGTGTGGTGAGGCTGGCGTGAGGGTAGCAGCGGCGTGGTGAGGGTAACGCGAGGGTAGAGCACAATATGAAGGTCCGCACGCACGCCCTGTGTGGCGGTGTGCCAGGGTTCATTCGACCCTCTAAGTGAACCCTCGCCGAACGGACACACAACGCAAACATGCAGACATTTATTAATTGACGAATTAAATTAGTGACAGGCATACACGCACTAGTGAAGGATGTAAGGGTACGAAATCATCAAGCTTATTAATGAGATCAGCAAAGATGTGTGAGCAGATGACAGGTAACATTAATTTATAGTGTAAAGTCACTATTAAATCATTGAGAAATCGGCGGCCGCACCGCCATCACTGCAATAGTGACGTCAGATTCGCTTACCAATTCATTTCTAATGCTCATACACATTGAATGAAAAACCACAAGTAACTCTAAAAGATACAGTTTTTTCCACGATAGCAATTAACAAGTCTACCTTTAGTAATACAAATTCATAAATAAATAATTAAAATTAAAATTAACCTGAAATATGCATGAGATACTATTAAATAACCAGAAAATTAAAGAAAAAGAGGAACGCAAAGTTTAAAGGGCAGACACAGTCGTAAAAAAGTGTCAATACTATACTCTGAAGGTAGATTTGTTGCTATGCCAGTAATCAACCAAAGGAATTTTGATGAGAAGAACTAAATTACGGGCGCTATAAACCATCATTGACGCTCCAGGGGGGGACATACAAATAATCAGACGAGATTAGATCGCTTAATTGATGATCCAGATCAGAGAAGCGCCGCTTAACAACTTAATTTACAGCGACGTAGGACAAGTTGAACGGTCGATCACGGAGAGCACTGGTTAATAGTGGTTAAGGTGGCGTGAATACAATACCGTAAACATCACTAAACGAAGAGATTATTTGTTGATTTGAAAGGAAACTCATCAACAACACTGATATTCCAGTTAATCCAAGGATATTCGAAGCCGCGACACACCTAGATTAATCAGCGAGGTCGTTAACCTCGCCGATCTGTTTGCCAGATCTCCAGTTACTTGATTCAATGTCGACTTGATAAAGATGTTAGAAGAGAGCAAGTAAAATGGCTATTATTGATCAGTAATTGGGCAATAGAGGCGACAATACGTTCACGAACGCCCGGCTCTGGCTAATCCGGCGTATCGACCCAACTACTCTATTGAGGGAACACTTGGCGGGGAGTGAGGGGAAGTGAGGGGAAATGGGGGATAGAGGGGAGACGTGGGAGTGAGGGGAGTCTGAGAGTGGGAGGGAGACACTTTCTCACGGAGAAGTAGAGGGGAGTGAGGGCTTAGGTACGATGAAGAGAGGGTAGCAGCAGAATGGAAGTCTGATAAAAAACGCGGAGTACGGAAGGTCAAAGATCAAAACTATCCAAATTTCTTCCTATATTTTACCCTTTCCTCAAACAAATGAAAATAAAACTAAAAAACGGATAGTGATAGGTAGACCAAAGAAACGAATAAGAAAATAAATAGAAAATGAATTTAATTTTATGATCTTGAAAATTTATTCAACAAACTAGATGAATTCAAACGAAATGAATCTTGATGACTGAATGAAATTGAGAAATTTCTGGTGAGCAGAACCCAGACTATGGAACCTAAGTAGATGTAAATGTAATAGGAATGAGGATGTGGGAGGAATGCAAGGGGAACGGCGAGTGGGGAACGAAGGGAATGAGAAAAGAGATGGAGATAAATGGCTAAAAATATGGCGAGGGTCCGAGGAGAGAGGAAAAATTTCCCCTCGGGAAGGAGAGAAAAGAGAGGAGATAAAAGAAAGGAGATAAAGAGAAGAGAGGAAAAAGAGGGGATAAAAGAGAGGAAATAAAAGAGAGAATATAAAGAGAAGAGAGAAGATAAAGAGAAGAGAGAAAAGAAAGGAGATAAAGAGAAGAGAGTAAAGAGAGGAAATAAAAGAGAGGAGATAATGAAAAAAGAGGAGATGCTAGAAAAAAGAGAGAAGAGAAAAGAGAGTAAACAAAATAGAGGGGAGAAAAGAGAAGCGACAAAGAGAGTAGAGAAAATAGAGGAGAAAAAAGAGAAGCGAGAAAAGAGAGGACAGAAAAGAGAGGAGAGAAAAGAGAAAAAAGGATTGAGAAGAAAGATGGTATGGAACAGAGGGGAGGGAAGAGAGGGGAGGGAAAAGAGGGAAGGGAAAGAGGGCAGGGAAGAGAGGGCAGGGAAGAGAGGGGAGAGAAGAGAGGGAAGGGAAGAGAGGGGAGGGAAGAGAGGGAAGGGAAGAGAGGGAAGGGAAGAGAGGGAAGGGAAGAGAGGGAAGGGAAGAGAGGGAAGTTATCCTTGGCTGGGAATTTGGTGCGGCAGCCGTGAGAGCCGCGGACACGGGCACATGAGAGGGACGGACGGGTGACGGGTGTGGACGGGTGACGGGTGTGGACGGGTGACGTGTGTGGACGGGTGACGGGTGTGGACGGGTGCAAGTGAGGGTGAGTAGATGCAAGGTTCAGGTCTCCTAAAACCTTAATTTTTCTAGTAATTATTGATATACAATCAGAAATATCCCTGAAATAAATAATGCAATATCCTTAAGAAAGATAAAGCGATATTTTTTTAATAAAATGGGCAATGTCCTCAAAATACATCGAGCAAAATATTCAAAATAAGTGTATGATTATCTTCTAAAAAAATAGCAAACAATAACCAACACCCTTGGTAAATCTAAGATTACAATCGAAATGTAAAACAAATCACGGTGAGCTGTTGACAGATAATAATATTAGCAACAACAATTTTATTGCAATGTATTATTTTACGTTAATGAACTGTTTAAATTAAGGCTTTTTCATATTTTTCATATCCAATTACTGTATTGTCTGATATAGTAACTGTGAACTTAGACGTTAATAGCGGCACTGCACTCGAAGAAATAAGCGAGGTTTTGTCAAAAAAGCGATGCACTTCTGGCTATCTTGACCCAGTAAGGCTGTGTATCGATTCCATGACCACTTTATGCTCGTGCTGTGGATAAGGAAGCGTGTAGCTATATTTGGACAATACGCCCCCATCATTTTCCCCAGTGATGCAGGTTTTGGCGGTAGCCCCCTGATCCTCGCGAGGCAGGACGCTGCATGCCAATGAAGCTCGTCTTCGGCAGGACAAATAATGTGGCGCTGACCAGCGAGACTCGCAAGGAGCCAGGATATTCGAGAGTAAATGTGCAGGCCTAAATATAAGAGGGTTCATAGGCCTAAACATCCTTCATAAGGAGCTGCGGCAGGCGAGAACCCTCGCTCGACTCAGGCCAGGGTGTAAACAGAGGGAATATAGCGTATAAACGGCTACTGTGTTACGAAATAAGGGGAAATATAGCGTATAAACGGCTACTGTGTTACGAAATAAGGGGAAATATAGCGTATAAACGGCTACTATGTTACGAAATATGGGGAATATAGCGTATAAACGGCTACTATGTTACGAAATAAGGGGAATATAGCGTATAAACGGCTACTGTGTTACGAAATAAGGGGAAATATAGCGTATAAACGGCTACTGTGTTACGAAATAAGAGGGAATATAGCGTATAAACGGCTACAGTGTTACGAAATAAGGGGAATATGGGGTATAAACGCCTACTGTGTTACGAAATAAGGGGAATATGGGGTATAAACGGCTACTATGTTACGAAATAAGGGGAATATAGCGTATAAACGGCTACTGTGTTACGAAATAAGGAGAATATAGCGTATAAACGGCTACTGTGTTACGAAATAAGCATAAAACAACTCTTACATAATGAGATGGGATATAGCGTGAAAATACAAAAAAATGGATACATACTGATATAACAAAAAATGCTATTGAGAATTTGAATATTTTGTATTAACAGTGCCTGTTTTAGCCAGAGGGAATATATATATATACAGTCGTCCCCTCCCCTGACATCACACCAGCGACCACACATCATTGTTCTCACGGCGGCACAACAAGAGCGGTCAGCAGACCTCCTCTTCTTCCATCAACCGCCGAAAATAGGCGTTAATTTTACACGCAGTCAACGCAATTAACATGGCGCAGCAGCAAATACTTAACTTCATAATATAACATATGATGGTGACTACAATGTACGAAGAAGCGGTAGCAAGTACATCAAAAAATTATCCAGAATGTCGAGGCGATATCGCGTCAGAGGTTTTTGCTCAAAGGAATTCTATAAAATGAGGGAACTTATTCATTAGAATGTAGAATCGTTCGTAATTGGATAGAATCATTCATAAGTGGTTGAAATAATTCATAATTGGTAAAATCACTCATAAGTGGGTAGAATCATTCAAAAGTGGGTAGAAATCATTCATAAGGGGGTAGGAATCATTCATATGGGGGTAGGAATCATTCGTAAGTGGTAAAATCCCTCATAAGTGAGTAGAATCATTCATAAGCGGTTGAAATCATTCATAATTAGTTTGAATCATTCATAATAAGGTAGAATCATTTATAAGTAGGTAGAATCATTACAAGTAATTGTGCACTGTACTCACCTGCAGCGGAGAGGCGGATGTCTTGGGACGTTCGGCGGCACTGCACGACGAATGCCTTCAAAACGTTCGTAATATTCTAGAGCACTCACAGCACCAGGAGTTCATGAGGTCATATTATGGTGATTCATGTAAAGCACTTCACTTCTATCACTTTGTTCACTCGACAAGTTATTGTTAAGGAACATAAAACGGCAGGCAACTCTTACAAGAGTAAACGCTATGCGTCACAATGCATCAATGGAACAAGGCAAACGAGGTAACGTGTAATGAGTGACGCAATAATATTGGACGTAAATCGTGTTTCTTCACTTCACAAAAGAGATTTAAAATGACAGAGATTTGCTTTAATATATATAGGACAATCTTACAGCACAGCAGTCACTCTGTGGGCAAAGGCAGCATTAGAATAACTTCATCTACTAGCGCATATCATTCGTTATTTCTCATCAGCCTCGTGAAATTGAAAGTCTCGTATTAATTTTTACAGGTATAGAATTATTATTTTCTAGCTAACATATAGGATACGTTGAACACATTATTGAACACTTGTTTGGTAATGGAATATTATGTAACTAACTTAAAAAAAAGAGAAACTCCAAGGACTCTATTATCAGGCATCAAATCGGTTATTCGCTTAGCATTTTTACACCCCGAAATTAAAATCCAATCTTCAATTAATACTGAAGACAGCGCAACTTGGAATGACATTTTCAAAAGCGCTGGAGAGAATCTGGCGCAAAAAAATGGCTTGGAAACTGAGGATGAAGCTAGCAACCGACATACACATTCATAAAAATGCATGGTTCATATTGTCCATATAGCGACACTCTTTCTTCCCACAGCACGAGCAGATATATAGAGGCCGTTATTGCTTTAATATGCTCTGTTGACGGCCCAGACTGGGTCAGAATGATTAATTTATGTGCCAAAAAGCGCACCGAGATTTGGACAGAATCTCGCACATTCGTTTGAGTGCAGGATGATGAACACAAGAGCGTAGGTACCCCACTTGACTTACTGTATAACTCTTACGAGCTTTACACTCAAAGTTATGAGTGGGACTTAGTGAAAAAAACTAATTTCTGCTTTGGGGTGGATCATTCTGACCAAGTTTGATCCTTCAGAAGAGCGCATCCGTGCTATATGCATACTATTCGAACTATCTATACTATTGTTATATATATACTATAGTATATACACTATAAGCATGACTATTTGAAAAATATAACCCATTAATAACTCTGAGTATGCTGAGGGACGGTCCAGGCTGCAGGAGCAGGAGTGGGCGTAAGGCACCGCAGCAACGCGCGCTCTACAAGGAGCCGCCGGCCTTGGCGGAAGCGCTGCCCTACATGGCAGTGGAGCGGCGGTGTGCGGACGCGCCGTGTGCCCATGACAGACCATATCGACCGCATCCTTAATACGGTTAACTTGATGATGGTCAGGTGATTGACCAGCACGGCTAACTTGATGATAAACAAGTAATTGACCAGCACGGTTAACTTGATGATAGACAGGTAACTGACCAGCACGGTTAACTTTATGATATGTAAGTAACTAGCACGGTTAACAACTAGGCGGGTAATCTTATGCCAGACAGGTAATTGACCAGCACGGCTAACTTTATACCAGGCAGGTGATTGACCAGCACGGTTAACTTTATACCAGACAGGTAATTAACTAGCACGGTTAACTATGTCTTATGCTAGACAGGTAATTGACCAGTACGGTTAACTTTATACAAGACAGGTTTAAGAGGTTCAAGATAATACAATAAAAAGATATTCAAGAGGTTCAAGGTAATGGAACTAGTCGACAGATTGTGGTGCAACAAGACGACGGTTAATGCCAACACAAAGGTAGCCTCAATTCAAGAAGTAACATCACACTTGACCATAATACATATTATACATTTCAAAAGGACCAAAATTTTCATTTGGCAAAGAAGGAAAAAAAATCTTCGGATGAAAAATAGGATCATATCGAAGCTTATTAGGACCAACAATAGAACATTAAAAAATCAGTGCATAGATATCAGTGGCCTATGCTGATTCGGAAGCCCAGACAAAACTGCGGGGCGCCAAACACCTTATAAGGCCTGAAGGACGGCCTCATTAGCTGGACCATCAGAAAACGATAGCCAAGCCATGAGGGGAGTTGCTTTCTGGCCACATATGGACCGAAGTGGCAGCATGGAAGAGTGCGTCGGTTATGCCACATGCCACCAAGAACGCGGTGGTTAAGCCAAGTGCCACACCAAATCTGCTTCACGAAGTTATGGTAGATGCCACCAAGTCTCAGTCAGTTATAGCACGTGCCACCAAATCTGCGTCAGTTATGGCACATGCCATGAAGTCTGCCTCAGTTATGCCATATGCCACGAAGTCTGAGTCAGTTATGGCACATGCCATCAAGTCTGCGTCAGTTATGCCACACACCACTATATCTGCGGCTCACCGCGCCATTACATACCTATTACGACTGGACAATTTTTCAGGCTTTGACGTTTCCAGTCTCTAACAATTCTATAATGCCAGTATCGAACAAAGTGCGCAGAGTCGCGGAGTAAGTTGCTGTGCCCCTGCGACTTGAATGCTAATAACAATTCTACGAGATCAGAGCATGAAAAATGCTAACAGAGCTGCAAAATACAATAGGGAAAAATATACGAATAACAAAAAAGAAGGTTGATGTTCAGCAGATTTCCCACATTCCAAGCAATTCAAACTGGAATAACGCAATTTGAGCTCCATAACAATAAAATTATGAAATGGGCCAGCTTTTAGTAATTCAAATCGTGTTCGATCTGTGGTTCGAACATACACTGAAATTTCCAATAGATATTTTATTTGGACAAAAACCAAGCAGTTCGTGAGACTAGCAACGATCTACCGATGGAGCGTTCTCTTGCAAGGGCGTATTGTACAGAGGCAGCTCAACGGATACGCTTTTTCCAAGTTAATATGGAGCCACGCTTCCTCCGGCCCGTTTTTTGCGGCAGGAGGGTGGATCCGTCATTCATGCAGAGAACACAGATCACAACACAGAGTCCTTGTTGATACACACACACCGGATACTGAACGCGCTTCCTGCTGGTGAAATCTATTTAATTTTATCGCTTCTTAATTAGAAGTAAATGATTGGCATTCTCCATTAAATAGGTAATATATATTCGACAGTTTCTTAATAAGAGGCAAACTAATTGGTTCTCGATTAACTAATTTAATATTTCATCGCTTCTTGATTAGAAGACACCCAATTAGCTTTCTCAATTTACCATTATTTATTCCAACAGACTCGATCATTAAAGGATAATATTGGCTTATGAATGAGAAGCCGAGAATAAGATTTTCAATTTAAATTTATGGCTGGTGAATGAGATCACGCTCCCTGAATACTAAATAATTATTGAGGTAGTCATGCATGATACCTGATGCATAACCTTTTCTGAGACCAAAATAGAGCTAATTACGTAGCAATGAGGTACTGGTGCTTGGTAGGTAATTTTTAAGCACAATTTGCATAGCAGTTGTAGTGAGCACGAGAGAATCGACACCTGCGACATCACGTTTGCTGGCGCACATGCACTTGTGGCTGGGACAACACTTGTTAGCGCGTGAACTGACGAAAACGCGAGGTCAGCAGCAAGGAAAAATGTGCACATGTGTACTCTGATTTCTTTCCGCATCACCATCAGACATGAAGCTCAAGCTGCGCGCAAGTTGGTTCTGATTATGAGCAAAAGATACAGACCAGACGGTACATCAATTCTGAAAACGTAACAGACAAGGTAGTCAATAAATTTTGAGCAGACGAACCAGTCAATATAGTCCATAAATTTTGGGCAGACGAAACAGACAAGGTAGTCTATATATATTTTGAGCAGACGAACCAGTCAATGTAGTCAATAAATTTTGAGCAGACGAAGCAGACAAAATAGTCCAGAAATACTGAATGAGGAAGAACTATTTCACCTGAGCTTGCGCCAGCCTGCAACGTCATCAGTGTTGGTCGCGACCGCGCGCGACAGTCCGAACAGTTGACACGCTGAAAGTCATGCCTACGGAGGTGTCGAGGACAAACAAGACCAATGTCGCGGTAATTCGGTGAATTGGCGCTGTAAAGTATATTAATTTCGAAGAGTTTTGAATCAATGACGCAGTTTCAGAAATTTTCTTTACCCAAAACGAGGGCCAGCACTGAAGTAAAATCAACTGCAGTCGAGCTTAGTATGGCACGCACTTGCCCAGCAGGGGAAATATTAAACTATAGTCCTTTAGAACTTAAAATTTAACATACGCCATGAATTTTTCCTCATTCTTTGCCAGCTGCATGAGATGAGGACTCCAAACTGATAAGTCAGAGGTCCGGCGTAGATATGAGTAGCAGTACGCAACTCAGGACCTGCCTAGCCGGCAGCTGCTGCGGCGCTGGTAGCACAGAAACGCGTCCTGAACATGTCTCGCCCCACCCCCGTCTTGCGGTGCCCCCCCCCCTCGATCGAGACAAGGTATATGATGAAACTAGACTATATAGATTTTACCAAACAGACTTCGATGCAATATGTCTTAAAATAACGTTAAAATTCTTGATTTACGTGTTAACGATAGAATTATTGATTTATATAAAGGTGAGGTTAAAAAGAGATACAGACGTATTATTAGTCGGTGTTTTACAGCTTCTTCTCGATGCACGATTGGAATTCAGTAAGAAAAATTGAAATTTGAGCATTTAAAATAAACGAGTGTGTATCGGCAAAGAACAAAGGAGGTAACATAGTTGCCGTGAACATGGCTACAGACGCCAGACATCAGCAGCACATCAGCCACGATCAGAAGCGGGAAGAAAGGAAGAAAAAAAAAAAAACCGTCACACAAGCCAAGTCTCAACCAATCATCGAAGCCACCTACATTTTATTTGGTTCCACGTCTATTTCGTGTTCATTTTATGCGATTTTTTATTAAGGTTTGGCCACAAGAGATGAGCAGGTAGCAATGATCCTGTGACGACAATGATGTTCTGCACCGCCAGTTCTGTAGGCCTACTCAGCCCTATAGGCCTGCCAGCCTTCTCATGGGAAAACTGGAAACCCACGTTGGGGTAAATAAAGACGACCATACTAAGTACAGCACCTGTGAAGTACAATGTGTAGCACCTAACAAATACAATGCAGAGCGTTAGTCAAGAGCTACACTCTGTACCAAGGATGGGAAGAACACGAGTGTGGGGAGATGTTTTCACTGACGTCTCAAGTCTCTCCAGGGAACAGTTAAAGCAGATTTTAAGTCGAACATTCAACAATGAGGAAAAATGTATTGGAAAATCCTTGCGAAATTATTGTATGTAAATAGAACGCAACCTTCCAGACTGATCTTGGAGAC